CTGAACATTTTTTATGTGACTTTAATGATTAAAGTGGTATAAATATAAGAAAAAAATAGGTGTTAGATTTATAAAAACATAAGAATTGGGTGGCATGTATGTAAAATTTCATGATTCGTAAACAGTTTGAAGAGGCAAGTGTTGCGAGTCACCATGTGCAACCTTATGAAGCAAATAGATATAAATAAAATGTATATGGATTGGCATTTCTTGTAGCTGTCTTCGATGTGATTGGCTATTTGGCCCTCTTCCTATTGGCAAGTAGGAATTAATATATAATAAATAATTTGCACTGTGCTTTGAAAGCTACATCTTAATATTGCCTACAATTTTTCCTTTTTTCTCATTATAATAATTTATCTTTGATTCACCCATTTGCAGTATTTTATAATTTGAGCGGTGATATATATATATATATATATATATAGGAAATGATCACGGGAGCTCTGCTAGGGTTTGGAGCTGCGGGCGATTTCGTAATATATATAGTTTATATATAGTTTTAAGTCTTAGATATGTAAATAGATAAGAATTAGGGGGTATGTCTGTAAACGCCCCGATATATATTTTATTGTTATGATTTTATTATTCGGTAAGGGGTTGATTTTACTGTATTTTGCGAGCAAGTGACGGGGACAACCATGTCGGCAAACACTTGTACAAGAAAGTAACAATTAATATATAATAAATAAGATAAATAGGGATTAAATAATGAACATAAATTTTTCATTACAAAAATCAAGACTATGAATATGATTATATACTCCAATTATTTTTCTTTTGAAAAAGCTATGGAGGTAGTGATGGAAGGATTTGAAAAGAGAATAAGTTAATTCACATATCTTTTTGATATTGTATATAAAAAATGTATTAGCACTGATCTTGAAGTGATCTAACAGTCCAGAAGAAAAAGGTATAATGAAGATTGAAGTTCCGCCAAACGAGCCAAGCGAACAAGGCCAAATCCGACTGTCGTAGGTGGACAAGAAGACGTCTGAATGATCCAAGCACGAACGATTCAGTTACAAACGAAACAAGAAAAAACATCTAAGCCAATTATCACAGGAAAAGCTGACCTGATGGGATAGCCAACGTTTCAGTAGAGTAAATCCAAAGGAAATCCAAGTTACATATTTTCTCCAACCATCCCATGAATGTTCTAGAGGTTCCTCACCAGGGATCAATGTTGACAACCAAGCTAGCTCAACCGACCGACTCATAAAGACTAAGCTCAACTGACCAAATTGATCTCGTCAACCCGAAGCCAACTAAGATTAACCAGCCAAGCTAGAAAGTAGGCGGTCGACAATGACCTATATATGTAAGAATATTAGAAATAACCTAGCACGACCCTCTTATGAATAGTGGAAAAAATATAATATCATCATTGTATCGTCTCTCATATAAATAGGAAAAATATTTCATGACTACTACACATACTCATATAGTAATTATAATAAAAATCTATCAAGTTTATTATTATAATATACCTTCATTATTGAAGATATTCTTTTTTATTATATTTCCCTTTATAATTGCTATGTTCTCTTATCTCTATATAGAAAAATTTATATATATCATAGCCATTTTATCTCTCATATTTTCAATAGTTTATAGAACCAATAGGTGATTCAAGAAGTACGAGAAGTACCATCCAAAAACAATTAGAATGCTTAGAGCATTCATCACAATAATTTGCACCGATGATTCAATCACAGCCGTCAAGCATCGAAATATACTGTTCAATAAGATATAATATTTATTTTATATAAATAAAATAATTAGATTTTCTCAATATATTATAACTTGTACATGAAATGGGGTGATGTATACCTTTTTTTTTTCTTTTTCTTTTTTGCCATTCGCTAAGTGTTTAGTTGGGATCAATTTTATTTTTTATTTTATGTTTTTTGTTTTTTTATAGTTTTAAATTTATAAATATATTTTTTAAATGCATATCTATTAAATATGTCAAACACAATATGAAAATAAAAAGTAATAGTTATCTCATATGGCCTCTAAACTATATATATATATATATACGGTAGGATCAAACCATTGACCTGAGGGGACTTACAGTGACCCCACCACCAACAGGCCAAGACTTGCGGCGTGTATATATATATATATATATAATAAACTGTAAAATATTTTCTTTTTTATTTCATAGTGGTATTATATCTAGATAATTTAATCACTCTCTCTATCTTCTGCATTAATTTTTGTTACACCCTTGTATTTTATTTATTGATCGTACATGATCAGTTCATTTAAATTTACTTTTGTTATTTTATCTACTTAGTACTTTCAGATCACTCATATATTATATATGAACATTTACATTATTACATACATACCCCCAATTTCTATATATTTACATAATTAATAGCTAAATTTTATTTTTGACATTTATACCATCCAAAATTTTCATATAAAAAAATATCACTATTTTGACCTTCAAATAATGAAATACACCTTTCCATGCACAAATAAAGTAGCATATGTGTTAGATATCTAAATTCATAGGAATTAAGTGTTATGTATGTAAATAATCCTATTATATATCCAGCCCTATTTTAGCACGAAAAAGTAAATTTATAATTATTTAATTTGACACAAGCTATATACTTAACCCCAATGGTTGTTCTATTTTTAATGTCTAATTAATTGAATTGACTTGCTTGAAACAACTACTTCATTAAAAAAGGTAACGGTACTATCTTCTAATGTATAGTTTAAAGAGCACAATAAATAATAAAAAGTAACGGCACAAATAAAGTAATGGCATAATGTCATGTTATTTATGCTAATAAAATTCTCTAAAGGTAGACTTTTTGTTTATTGGTCTCACCCTCTCTATTTTTTTGCTTGTAGTGTTAGCTTAAAAAGAGTACTTTTTTACAAAGTGGACCCTTCGCTTCTTCTAAATTCCATAACAAAGCATTGATATCTTAAAAGTGTTAAGAGTTGTTAAGCTTAATTTTAGCCCTATGAAAAAGACGTGCAATGAAGATTCAGTGTCTCCACAAACATTAGAAGAGGGACGACGAGTCCCCAAATGGGGGTTCAAGGAAGAACTGATTCTCTAATATTTATAAGTATTTCATTAAGAAATTTTAAAATTTTAATTATATTTTGACTATTCTCCTTTATTTATTCTTTATGATTAGTAGTGAAATTTGTAGTAATTGCAATGTGACGTAGTCATAAATTGGACGAATTTGCATAAAATTCTTGTGTGCTTTTAGGTGTCAATGTTAATTTTCTATTTTATGCTTTTATTTTATTTATTTGTGTTCACATGAGTTTCATCTATCTCCTAATAAAACTTGCTAATAGAAGCATGATAAGTAGAGGAGATAAGTAAAACAATAACAATAAAACATGATTCACACAAGTGATAATTAGGCTAATATATATTTCTCATATAATAAATCACAGTTTTATGACTCCAAATGTAAATTTTTGAATGTTAGGTATGTATATCACAATTATTTTAATTGCATTGTTTAATATTTATCTAATTTCTAAATTATTTTTGAACTTCTTTGTAATAAGTTGTCACTCTATATACATACATGTATAATCATATTGAATTTGATAATTATGATGATAATCTCCTCATTCCTCTCCCTCTCTCCCTCTCTCCCTCTGCCCTCTCTTCTTACTGAATTTTAGCTCCACTCTTTCTACTGATCTACACCAGTAAGCTAGCCAATGACTTATTATTACCTTTATTTCAGTGTAGTCATCCATAAACAGCTCCCCATTTTAATAAATTATTAAATGTGCACATTAAATGATTATTTTCTTTGTTAGATTAATACTTTATTTTTTATCATTCAATAAGATATAATACAATCTTGAATCTAAAACATAAACATATGCCTAATGTATTTAAAAATAATAAGGGAAATGTAACTTGGATATATAAAATCAATTATACATGTAATATTCCATCATGACCTTAATCACATATATACGAGCAATGCAATTTATAAGTTTAGGTCAGCAATCAACACTAAACATATAAAGATATATCACCTGCTAATTAACCACACCAAATAATCATAATTTATGAAAAAAAATCCCAACCTACTTGTATATATCATCTAGCACATCCTGAAAGGAAAATGACAATGAAACAAAGTTAATAAACAAAAAAAGGAGGGTTTACATGCATAACACTTAATTCTTATGTGTTTACATATAAAAAATCTAAACTTTAACTTTTAGATATGTATATAAAGGTCTATTTCATTTATAAAAAAATTAAGATAATGATATTTCTAATGTAAAATGAAAAATATAGGTGATATAAATATAAACAAAAAATTAAGATTTATGCGTTCGATGAATAAATGGATAAGAATTGCATTGCATGTATGTAAATGGTAAAAAAAAAGGGTAATTACATACAAAACAATTGAAACATTGTTATTTACAAATGTAACATCTTCTTTCATCCATTGTTCAAATTCTCAATCAAGTATAACAGATTATGGTCAAACCCCAACTCATATTTTTCATTTTTATCAAATTCTCAAAAGTTCAATGGTGGCACATGTAAATGCATCGGTTGGGTATTTCAAAAAGAAATTACCTAATGTTTAGGTTATAAATATCAATATTTGGGATGGCTTGTATGTAATTATCCAAAAAAAAAAAGAATGAAAATAAATCATAAATCATGTAAAATGGGCTCCCTCCATGTGGGTTGGATCTTGAAAACCCAACGGCATCCGCATTAATAAATACAGTAAGACAGCTGTGTTGCACTTGTATGTTTCTAATGACGACCAATGGAGCAAACTTCCCAACTCCTTACACACTAGTTTTAATCCTTACAGAAATACCAAACAGTTTTTTTTTAATCCAAAACCAACTCTCTTGATAAAGAAGATAATTGAAGTAGTTGGAGGGTGGAGAAGGGGCAGCTCAAACCTAGAGGTAGCCGTTATTTCCTCCACCCCCTCTCTCTCTCTCTTCTCTCTCTCTCTTCTCAGATATTTGTTTTAAAATTTTATTTTGGTAGGAAAAACGTCAACATAGCTGTCTTGTTTTGCTAACAACCCCACAGCTTTCCATTGCAAACATTCCGCTCATTTCCTGCACTGCCCTTTGTAAATTTTTCGTTCAATCCTCCATTAATTTCTTCCTTGCGTTGCTCTCTTAGGCCCTCTTATTGTTTTAAAGATGCGAAGGACTAATGAGGGGGTGAAAAAGATGAAAAGGAAATGTGCAGAATGACATAAAAACGCCAACTTGCAGTACCGGACAACTCTTTAGGAATGCTTTACAGCCAACAAATCTGATGCCCCCTTCTCTCTCCTCTCTCTCCCTCTCTCAAAAAACTGTTCTTTTTTGAGTTCGCCAGTTCACACCTGCCACTATTCTTTGTTTTTTTTCTTTCCCAATGGGTCGCAATGCAACATTTTGCTGAAAAAAGAGGGCTTTTGCTGCTCTGGTTTGTATTAAAGGGATTGAGGAGGAAGAAGATGATAGCAGGGAACGAAGAAGAGAAAATCACAGAGAAGAAGATGAAGAATGGAAGAAAATCGCATCTTTTTCTTCACTATTATTCTATTGTGTCGGCGCTGTGTCGCTATCAGCCGGCATTTTAAGCTTTTGGAACGATGATTCAGCTCCATTTTTAGGGGTTTCTGGTAAATTTACGATTTTTTGTTTGTTTCCCTTTCGATTGGATTTCTGGATTTGTTTTTCTGTATAATTGGGGAGGAAGATGACTCATGGAGATCTGAGAAACAGTCGAGATGTGTGTCAGAGAAAGCAGTTTTTTCGTCTGATTCCTTTGGAAGATTTAGTTTTATTCTGAGTTGTTGCAGGTGATGGATTGAAAGCCAATTTCATTGGTCTGTAGGTTTTCTGTGTTGTTTTTGAACTGGAATTTCTGTTTTGTTTCTTATATTTTGAAGTTTATGAATGTGGTTTTTATGTAGGGTTGATTTGGTGAATGTGATAAAAATGCAGATTTTGTTGATTGCATTGTTATATTGTTATTGAGGATGCATGTGTTGTGTTCTAGTTAATCATTTGAGTTATTTGCTGTTAAGTTTTAGGAAGGTTTACATACATACCATTTAATTCCACTATTTACATATCTAACAATTAAATTCCAATTTTTACATATATGCCACCTTGTCTATGCATGAAGAGGTGTAGAGGTGTATTTCACTTTTTAAAAATTTCACTTTTTAAAAGTTAAAAAGGTGATATTTTTTATTTGATGTGAAAGATTTAGCTGATATAAATGTAAAAAGTAGTGTTCGGGTGTTGGATTTAAAAATATTTAGGAATTGAGTGGTATGCATGTAAATGCCCACCAATGCATGTGAGGTGTGGATTTTATCTGGATATTGAGGAGCATGGTTAATTTGATGTAGATTTGCATGTTATTTTGATGTGTTGTTCAGTACAAATCTCATTTAAGGGGAGGCGTTTTGTTTTGATTTATTTATTGGATGTAGATTTATGAAAGTTTAGGAGTTCGATGTATAAATACATAATAATTGTGTGGTATGTATGTAAATTCCCCAATTTTTAATATTTCTGTGTTTCGAAAGCCCAAATCTATGTGCCAATGTTCGTCATCGTTATTGTTAGCCTATCCCATGTATTTGGTGTCAGTTTGAGCTTTAGGAACTCGCTATTGTTTACTTTGGTTGAGTGCTATGTGAATTTTTAACTCTAGCTTGTGAGACTTTTACCATAAACTTGAGCCATGTTACATTATTAGCTTTCATCTATCCATTTTTCTTGGGGAAATTTACATACGTAGCACACACTTCTTATGATTTACATATCTTTCAACTAAAATTTCATATGCACATACATAGCACTTGCTGATTTCACTTTTAAAAAGTGATGTTAACGCTATTTTTTATTTGATATTAAAGTTTTAAGTACTTTGTGTAAATATGAACGTTTGGGTGTGAGAGATGTAAATACATAAGAATTGCGTGCTATGTATGTAAATGCTCCTCTTCCTTTTGTGATTCTTCCACAATATTTTTTGTACTTTCCTTGGAATGAATCTTGTCCCTTCATGCCTCACTCCACTTTTAACAATTTCACCACGCATCCATTTTATTATTATTACTTTTTTCGTACTCACATCGACTACTAGAGATTCTTAGTTTTACGACAATTAAAAGGCATGCATCCTTACCCTTGAATATATTGGGAGGTAGTTTCGATGACTCGAAGGTGTGACTTCCGAATCGCAATGGAGACCTAACTATTAGTCCAAATCCAACCTTTTGTGAACATATCATGTAACCAAATGCAATGAGCTAACATTAATACAAGTGTAGGGAGGAGTTAATTATAAACAACCTTATGCTTACATTTATTGATAGGATTTCTCTGCTTCGATCTCTATATCACAATGGAGGCAACCTGAATATATCTTAAGACCTGCCATCTAGAGATCATATTATGAATAATTTTCACAAAGGGTTCCGTTTGGGATGACTGCAATCTTTTCTAAAGATAGTTGTAAAGTTGTGGTATGGAAAAAACTTCTTAAAAAATTATGGTGTAAATTGTAAGTATTTTTTTTAAGAAAAAGCTCAGAGAACAACATTCTTACAACTACCGCACTTTAATAAATTTGATTGCAAAAAGCAGCTTTTAACCACAAGAATTTTTAGGAAGCAGCACGAAAACAATTCCCCAAACAAAAATATGGTGGCAGACTACAAAGAAAAATTGACAGAAAACTATCCCAAACAAATCCTAGATAAGCGGCTAATATGTTTTATAGAATTAGCATGCTAGTTTGTTCTTTGTTAAAATAAAGAATACTTTCTTACTTCTCACTTAGGGACCTGATGATAAGTGCTTGTATTTTGATTTCAGGTACAATGCATAAAATCTCATAATTTTGAAGGCAAGCTCAATAGCGATAAGGTCGATCTGAGACCAGATGTCAATGACTCTTGCAGCAGCTCTAGGAAGTGCTGCAGGAGCCTTGGCATTGGTTGTGATATTGATTTTCTTCGTGTGGTACTGTCTTTTTCGTCGGAGAAATTCACGAACATCAGAAAGTAACTCATCAGAGCCATCCATACAAGGTAGAAAATGTAAATATATGGTTTCTTTTGTACTTTAATGATCATCTGATGAATCTTTTATATGATTCAGCTGGACAAAGTGTTGAATTATCAGTACAAGAGAGTTCTTCATACCTACCGGGAGTGCAAGGATCGCGTCGTTTTGGACTAGGAGAACTCAATATAGCAACAAAGGATTTTAGTGATATTAATCTAATTGGTCATGGAATATTTGGGGAAGTATACAAGGGTCTGCTTCAGGATGGAATGATTGTTGCTATTAAAAGAAGGCCAGCTCCTCCCAATCAGGATTTTATTGAAGAGGTTGGTCTCTTATGAATTTATCTGTGGAATTCATATGCATTTACACATCTAACACCCTAAACTTTAATTTTTACATGTATGAAATGGTGCATTTTAATTTTTAAAAGTTGAATAGTGATATTATTGATGTGATATGAAAGATTTGAGTGGTGTAAATAGGTAGGAATTGGGTGGTATGTATGTAAATGCCTCTCCACTATTTTGTTGCCAACAGGAAAAAGATGTCATTTTTAAGATATGAATAAGATTTGATAACCAATTATTAGGTGAAACTCTCTTGTTTTCTCCCTTTTCATTTTTTCCTATTTTTCTATTTTTAAGCATTACAAGCCTCATTTTCTTTAAGTTTGTTTATGAAACAATTGAAATACATTTAACATTTGTTATGCTCTTATTTGGCTTTCACATTTGGACTTTATATCCTCGTCTATTTCGTATCGAAACATATTGTTCTAATTCGATCAAATGAACTGTCAGGTACGGTATTTATCGTCAATTCGGCATCGGAATTTGGTGAGTCTACTCGGTTACAGCCAGGAAAGTGATTTGCAAATGCTAATCTATGAGTACATACCAAATGGGAGTGTTTCTGCACACTTATATGGTCTCCTTCTATTACTCTCTAATTTTATAGAACTTTTTGGTTAGAAAGGGGAAAATTTACTGACATACGACATAATTCTTATGAATTTACATATCTGACATCCAAAGTTTGATATTTACACTTTTATGAAACCCTATGCATGAAAAGGTGTGTTATAAATGTAAATATGAAAGTTTTGGTGTTACATATGTAAACACATAAGAATTGTGTGGTATGTTTATCCTGAAATAAAAAAGATTCAAACCAGTTGTATCCTCTGGTTTTCATTGGCAGGAGGGAGTCAGGCCTCAGCTAGTAGGCTAGAGTTCAAGAACAGGCTTTCCATTGCTTCTGGTGCAGCCAAAGGTGATGATTTGCAAAACCAGTGGCATTCATGGTTACACTGGTATTGGTTTCTTTTCCTAGAGTTGCAAAATGTAATCCAACCTAATTTGGTGAAACCTAATATATATATATATATATATTTGGAAGATTTACATGCATACCACTTAATTCCAATCTATTTGCATATCATCACCTAAACTTAATTTTTCCATATGTGTCACTTTTAACTATGCGTGAAAAGGTGTAGTTTACTTTTTCAAAAGTTAAAATAGTGCTATTTTTTATGTGATTTGAAAGATTTTGGTGGTATAAATGCAAAAAAAATCAAACTTTAGGTGTTAGATATATAAATACTTAGGAAGTAGGTGGTATGTATGTAAATGCTCCTTTTCTTGGGTTTAAAGTCTATCATCGATTCATCCACAGTTTCGGAATTTGGAAATTATATCTGATGTCTGGTTTTATTTATGGTGAACAGGCTTGGATCATTTGCATTCTCTTACTCCCCCTCTGGTGCATATGAACTTCAAAACAGGAAATGTCCTAGTTGATGAGGACTTTATTCCAAAAGTGGCAGATGCTGGACTTCGAATCTTACTATATCGAGTCGATGGTGTTGCCTCGTCTCAAATTACACTCGACGATCCTTTTCTCGATCCTGGGTAAGAAGATAACTTAATTTTACTATATGCTCATGTTGTTGTGGAAGAACTCAAGTGTTATGAATTTAGGGTTGTAAATGAGTTAAGTCAAGCTCAAGCCATACTAAATTTGAGCTTGGCTCGTGACATGTATGGTTGGCTCGAGTTGGAGCTCATAACTTGAGCTCGAACTCGGCTTGTGGCAGTTATGCCTGACTTGAGCTCGGCTAGAAAACTCGATTTTGGTAAAAGTATCTTGAAAATTTATCTATTACACGAAAATTAAGATCAAGTAATGTAAGCGAGCTAACTCACAAGCCCTCAAGCCTAGTTAGGCTAAGCTAGATCTCGAGCTTATGTAACATACGAGCTCGAATCACATCTCATCATCTTCTTTTTTTTTTCTTTGCAGGGTGAGGGAGTTTGGAAGATTTTCTGTAAAGAGTGATGTATATAGCTTTGGAGTGTTTCTTATGGAGTTAGTTACTGGAAATGAAGTTAAATCCGAGCAAAGCGTCCGAAAATGGGTATTTAAATGATGTTTTATGCATTGCTATAGTAGATTTCATAGAAATATTGTGAAGAAATTTATGCTCTTTATATACGTATTTTATATACGTGCATATGCTGGTTGAACAATCTGTTCGTATTCAACTTACTCCGGCATTAATGCAGAAGCTCAATGCAAAATTATCTCAATTTATCTAACTTAATATGAGAGAGGATGACGTCTAAACAAAATGTAAAAGAAAAAAAATAAATAAAGTTCAGTTGTTAGATATGCAAATGCAGTCTGGTTTTACTCCATTGATAATGTCTGTTTCATATGAAGGTTCAAAACTATGAGGAAACGAGCGACATTACCAGCATTGTGGATCAAAGAATGAGCAGCAACTTCACCACTGAATGCGTAAGAGAATTCCTGCGGCTAATTGTCTGGTGTTTGAATCCGATCGGGGATGGACGGCCTCCGTCGAGCTATTTGGTTTCGGAACTCGATCGAATTCGCGAGAAAGAGCTGAATCTGACGACGATCAGGGGCGAAGGAACGACTACAGTGACTCTCGGAAGCCAGTTGTTCAAGTCGGGTTTGTGAGGGACTCCATGCGAGTTTTATGAGCATGGTCTTGAAGCTTGTAAAGGAAATATTACCAGTAAAAGAATTACATGTACAGAGAGGAAGCTATCTGTATTATTATTCTTTTATGTTTTTTTACCCATCCATTGTGTATTGTGAAATCATAAATGTAAAAATTAAAAAAAAAAAATTGTTTTATGTATTTGAATTGAATGGAATTATTATGGGCTTTGAGTGAACTCATAAGAGTGCACAGATTTTTTGCTATGTTTTATCTTTGTATTATTGACCTTGATTTTATTTTTTTTTTTCAAATTAAATATAAAAATATAAATTCTTGAATTTACTTTACATCAAACCAAACAACTTTTAAAATGAACCAAGCAAAAACAAAAAGAATTCTGCACAGTTTTTATTGCAAGGTAACATAAAAGAAATTTCCAAACTATAAACATAAAAACAAATAAAGTCCTTTCTCTTCAAAAAGTTTAAAAAAAATACAAATTTGTATAATTATTCTTGTCCATAATTTTATGCACAATCATAATCATAAGCTTTGCTTACAGGGCTTGTCAATCATAAGACTCAGCCTTTGAGCAATTCAGATTTCTGTTATTGCTGCCGATGCCACATGAATACCTTCCTAACAGATTCTTGAAGACTTGGGGTGTTCTGATGGGAATAATTCATCCACATAATATCCAATGGAGAGGATGAAGCCATAGTAAATGGATCAGGCATGCTGCTCACACCAACATAATTCCGTGCCGGCAACACTCGTTCCAACCCCGAAGACTCGAACGAAGATCGACACGGAAAATCTCTGAACTCAGACGGGACACTGAGTCGACTCACATTACCACCGCTGCTCTCGACTCCGCTCCCAGAAGATTCAATTCCAGACCAAACTCTGTGTGGCTGATGCTCATTAGGAAGCCAATCTCTGATCTTTGCGCAAATGTTGTCATCGATCATATCTCGTGCGAAAAGCTCTTTCTTGTGAGCATGACATTCTTTGTTGTGCATCTGTTTATCATTGAGAAGGGAGAAACAATTGGTTCCCGGCGGATTTCCATTATTCATTACGAATTGTGGTCCGAGTCGGCTTAGTTCTACACGCCTCTGGCTATAAGAATTGAACATTTGAGAAGTAGTTTCAACATTGAAAGCAGAGGAGAGGGGCCTCCCAGCATTTGTTTGTAAGCTCGCTCTTTCCGGATCGAATATCGGTACGGGTTGAACTTTAAAATGTTGGCATTGATGGATCGGTGCGGCGGAAGATGTAAAAATAACGGCTTCTGAAGGCTTCTGGTAATTGGAAGAGGAAATTAACGTGCTTTTGGGAATCTGAAAGGAATACATTTTATCAACAGATTCATCTTTAGCAGGCTTCACAGTATTTTCAGTTCCTGTTTTTTGATCCGAAATTGAGGAGTCGAGCTCTCGAAGGGCATTGAGAGAAGGTATTCGATCCAACATACAATCATGCGAGGAGAGAGAATGGAAATGAAAATCTCCTTCAACGGTCGTGAGGGCAGAATGATGCTCAGTTTCTCTGACTGCTTCCACCAGATACTCAGGTGAGCTCCCTAGAACTGATTTTTCAGCCTGATAAAACAATTACTAATTCACCTCAACAATTTTATTCTTCGTGGAAAAGAAGGCTAGAGCAAAGATTAAATTAAAAAAGAAAAAGTAAATTTACATATGTACAACACAATTCTTATGGATTTACATATATAACATGTAAAATTTCATATTTAGGTTTGTAATACCTTGGTGCTATAAAGCTATGCATAAAAAAGTGCGTTGGACTTTTAAAAAGTTATTAAAGTGATATTTTTGATGTGAGGTTAGAGTTGTGAATGTAAATATTAAGGTTTAGCTGATAGGTACGCATAAGAATTGTGTGCCATGTAAGTAAATGCCCCTAAAAAAACAAGAGCTTCAAAAGTTCAGCATGTGCCGAATTAAGCATACATAAAATTTGGTATCAGAAATCAGCATATTGCTAATCATTACTAAACCAAAAAAAATACAACAATAACAACAACAAGCCTTTATTCCACTAAGTAGGGTTGGCTACATAAATCCTTTTTCTCCATCGCGTCCTATTGAGTATCATTATTTCATTTAATTCCAATAGATTAATATCAATTTTTATACAATATGCCCAAGTCATTTTAGGTCTACCTCTGTCTTTCTTAACATAAGTCGTATCTAACATATCTACTCTCATAACCGAATTATCAGATGGTCGACGTTTTATTTGACCAAACTATCTAACACGACTCTCTCTAGTCTTGTCAGCCACTAGAGCTAGACCACCCTATCACGGATATATTCATTTCACACTTTATCTCTAAGTGTGAAGCCACTCATCCACCTAAGCATTCTCATCTCAACAACACTTAACTTTGTTTTGTGTTTCTCTTTTAACGGCCAACATTCTGCGCTACCATCTTATAAAATTTTCCTTTTAAGTCTGTTGACCTCGCTTTCGGTCGATGTGTAGTTTTCCCCTCCTTAGTAGCCTAAGATCTAGCCATAGGACCTTTCTGTCGACTACTCCTAGAAAATTAGTGAAGGAGCCCTCCCCGTTAGCAAGTTAGCAACCCGTTAGCAATTCTGAACTTTTCTTCGCTCGACTTGACGTTCCATATAGTAGTTTTGACCCCTATTGCTTAGCAGGTAATGCTACTCTGAAGGAACTCAGGGAATATTCCTATAGGACTGTCGGCCTTAGGATTGACTGTACTCGTTGATTTGGCGCCGCCGTCCTCTGCACCGTCCCGTTTGATTGAACTCATACTGGAATTTCGATAGGATTCGGACCGCGACGCGTTTTTGACCCGATCGACGACGAGGTTGCCCGGACGACTCCGGATGACGAAACAGACTGCGCCGATGCGTCCGAAACATCAATTTTGTCTAGAAGGGGTTCGTTTCATTGCGACAGCGCCTCTTGGGGAAAATACATATTTAAATGTTAATTATAATTATAAATAATATTTTATTATTATTATTATTATTATTATTATTATTAATAACTTATATTAAAAATCATTAACCTAATTTCTTTTTTTCCCTCTTCCGTTTCTTCCTCTCGCGCCCGTGGACCTCTGCCCTAGCTTCGACTCGCTCGGTTTTACCTGGCCCGCTTCCTCGTGTTCACCTGGCCCGCTCCTTCGTGTCGTTGGAGTTTCGTTCCCGCGCTCGCCTCGCGCATGCGGGACGTTCCCGCGACCCATCCCTATAATAAATGATACCCTTTCGGATTGATTCGAGGTTGTTCGCCTAGCGCAACATAAATCCTCAAACTTTTCGTTAGACATTTGTATAGCTCTGCTGTATGATCTAAGCCCTAACTCGTTTTAGGATTTTGAGGTTGTCGTTCGTTACGACCTAAATCCTCATATCTTCCAGGCTATTTGTGTGACTGTTTCACACGAATGTAAGCCCTAAATAAATAAAATTGGCGGGATAAAACACTTGAATATTTCTCCTCGAAATTGAAGTCAAACCATAGGGTAGACTGGGAAGTCACCGAGGATCTCCTCTGGATCTGTGGCATCCCTTAGTTCTTTCTTTTTTGGATTCTACAATAAATGTTCCAAGTTTGAACCATTCTTCTTTTGCACATCTCTTTGTCCGATTTCGTTAAAAAATCCTATCATTTTGACCTCCTTGAAGACAATTTTTCCTGATTTTTATCGAGAGTATTCTTAAGTGACTTCGGTCATTTAAGATGTAATTAACTATAGAAGTTTGCCCTTATAGGAAGTTTTTCCGAACTCAACTTAAAATAAACCCTATTTAATTTTTCATATTAAATAGGGGAATTTGCCGGCAAATAAAACGATTTCGCAGACCAAATGGACGTCATATATTTCTTAGCTTATTTGATCGAGCCCCATCCTCAAGTCTTGTGTTTATCCCTCGGGATAGATACAGTGTTTGACGTAGAGTGCTCTTTCATTTAAATTATGGGTGATTTGATTTCATATTTTTCTAAACTTAAATCTATATGTAAATTAAATTATGGGCGAGGAAACAAGCGACAAAATTTTGATTCCGACGACCGACAGCTTCCTACGGGCAACTCACCACACCCCAAACTTTTTATCGCTGACAAAGTCGAAGCAGTACTTTTCCATCACACAATGGGCCCGATGCATTCCTCCACTTTAACCAACAAACATGAATTCTACTATTAACAACCCCATCTATATCACCATCACTTTGAGTAATAGACCTGAGATATCTATAACATATATCTAAAATATTTACACCTTCTAATGATTTGATCACCCATAGTTACAACTCTGTCACTAGAGCTGCTACAACTACTAAAATTACATTCCATATATTTGGTTTTAAATCTATTCAAACGAAGACCTTTAAACTCCAATATAGACCTTCATAATTCAATTTTTTTCCTAAACTCTTTCTCTTAGTCTTATTCACAAGAACGATATCATCAACGAAAACATACACAAAGGTACATTCTCCTGTAAATTTTTGGTAAAAGCATCCATAACTAAGGCGAAAAGGATATGAGCTTGAAGTTGAACACTGATGCAATCCAACTGAAGTAGGATCAATCCTCATTTTCAAAAACACGTAGCAACTCTAGTATATATATGTTAATGACTTCAATATAAGCCATATCAACACATTTCTTCTCTAGAACTTTCCAAAGGACTTCTCTTGGAATCTTATCTTAAATTTTACTTGATCGTAATTTATTTTACTAAACTAAGCAATAAAAAAGTAAAAAAGGAATAATTGCACAGATAACACTTGAAACATTGTTGTCTACAAATTAGCAATCATATGCTTTTTTATTTTTTTTTTAAATATGAAACCGAGTGCCACAATCAAACGATTGAAAGTTTGATAAAAATAAAAAAATATGGGTTGGGGTTTACCATGAATTTTGATATTTGAGTGAGAATTTGAAAATCGGATTAAAGAGTATTAGATTTGTACATAACATGTTTGGAGTGCTAAGCATGTAATTGCACCATAAATAAAATATTAGCATCAAGTTGTGAAAAGGTCATGGACGCTTAGCAAAAATTGACATTTTTCATTAAAAAAAACTAACTATACTAAAGAGTTTAATCTAAAAAAATTTGAGTTTTTCATAATCAATTATCATTTCAATTGTCTCTACCATTAATCATAGAAGAAATCAGCATGAGATCATCAGTACTAGAAATTCAAAGGTGAAGGGTAGAAAAATAATGCAGTAGAATATAAACTTTTAAAGTTTTAATGCAAGGAAAATATTACCAAAATACCTTCTATAAATGCACTATTTCAAACATTAAAACTCATCAAACCTTATCATAAATGAAAGCTCTTGATTCAGTCAGCTCTTTCTCCAAGCATTTCATACGTTGAATTTTCATGAACTTCCTCTTATTAAACTTTTCCAAAGCCGGAAGGGTATCTTTAGTAACTTGGACCCTGTGAGCAAAAAATAATGGCAAATTTACATCGTATCACGCAATTATTACGTATTTACATGACTAACACCTAAACATTCAAATTCACAAAGATAGGTTTATGACACCAACGTGTTATAAGTGTAACTATCAAACTTTGGGTGTTAAATATGTAGATACATAAGATTTGTGTGGAATGTATGTAAATTTCCCAAAATAATATGACCGCTTTGATTCAATGAAAGCTGAAAGTAAAGGTGAATAAAGTGCTTACCAATGTTTTTGAAGCTTCTTATTTTCTTCGTCCTCATATGATTCGTATGGATAAATCTGAAAATTTTTTATGTCACCGAGCACACGGCTAATGGATTTGGATCGAATGTGGTCACCAGAATTCTTTAACTCTTTTATCATTTTTAATTGCTTCTTATTTACCTGTAAATACAAAGATTCATTACCATTATGATCTTAATATTAAGCAAAAAAAAGCCCGATTGTTCTGAACAAAGATTAATTAATGATCATATTTTATCTACTTAACATCTATAAATGATGATTAAACAAGAAGATGCATACCCCATGGAGAATGTAAAACTAAATGCAGTCAGAAATGTCGGAGTAGGGAATTTTAGATGCTGATAATTTTAGATGGCCATTTGTTGAAGTTCGGATGTGTATTTGCAAATCTCCCGGTATTGAGATCTATCAGTTGATATAGGAAAAGTCTTGTATGTTATTATAAAAAAGGGGTAAATCATGCAAATCACATCAACATTTCGCTAAAGAAATTTATGTGCCGCAAAAATGTAATTCACAAAATCGTCCAATTTCACAAAAAGAATTACAAAAGAGCATCATGGAATGAATTCCTTTAAACTTCATTCTTCTCTCTCAACACACCTTTCTATTTAGAGTTGTAAACAAACCAATGCAATTGATGAATAACTTAAACTCGAGTCGATTAATACTTGATGATGTTTAATAATTTTTAAAACTCGAAGGTTAAATGGACCAAATTTGAACATAATTCAACTATTTTACTAATGTCCATGAACAAATTTATTTGTTATTCAACAAATAACTTGTTGAATATTCTACACTTATATGATATATTATTTAAATATAATTTGATAAACTAGACCTTTATTTAATTATATATTTAATAGTAACATATTATAATTTAATATCAATATGTATATTAATTTAATGTAATTTCTTCTTATTTTTTTATTTCAATGACCTAATTTATTAGTACTTATTTCTATTATTTAATTATAATAAATTTCATTAATAATTTATATCTTATTATAAATAAGATATAAATTTAATAATAAAATTTACAACTCCTCGTAGCCAAAATTCCTGACTTGAAGCCCTCTCCGCTAGAGATCTCATTGCAGCACTCCTTTATATTCCTCTAACCACTAAAAATCCTTCCTGCAGCCAGACCTTCTTGCCGCAGGCTCACCAATGCCGAAACACTTAGTATCCTTAGTATTCCTCTGTGCAATCTCTCCCTGCAGCCTGGTTCTTTTCCGGCTACAGGCTCTCAGGAGATTCTCTCCCCACACCCTTTCAGCAGCAACGACTCCAGACTTTCCCAATTTGGTCCAGTTAATCGAAAACTGATGCAAGATTGTAAGTCCTCGCGTGAGGGAGTAGTGGGAGCTCTGGAGTGGCAACCGGCATATTTAGGGACCACTCTAGATTAGTCAAAGTTCTTTATGCATTCGGATGAGAGTAAAGAATAAGATTGCTCCAATTTGACACAAAACAGTTATATATATATTTTCAAATGATTTTAATTTCTTCACAATCCATATACTCATTGTAAAGAAGAATGATGTTTTCTTAAATTTGAACTCTTCGTCACAAAATTTTGTTTAGTCTTAGTAAATTTAATTTTGAAGTTTAGAAATTAGTTTAGTAAACTTTTTAGTTACATTTATGTTAGCATTCATTAAACCCATTTTAAATTATCTTTTTTATTTTATTTTTTATAGTTTGAATATTGTGATTTATGTTATTATAATAAGAATTTTCATCTTCAAAACTAAAACTTGATAGTAGTAGATTAGAATTAGCCTAAGGAATTTCTTACTGCACTTCTCTGTACAATGGATACTGGAGTTTTTAAAGAAAGTCCTATATTACTTGAAGTGATATGTGCACTTGCGCAGAACTCTTAGCTTGTGAACTATTTTATATATTTTATATAACATTTATATTTTGCACATTAAATACTTAATATAAATTGGGTCAAAATTTTGATCATATTTTTAAAGCTAAATTGCTACGTAATTTCAGGACTTGTCAATTTTTTGGCACTGTTATTGTGGATTTAAATTGATATAAAACACGCAGAAAAATAATACACACTAGGGGCGCATCACGCTCCTCCACAATAAGTTATTCCCTACAGGCAAGCGAAACTTCCTCAACTGGATTTCTCTCTGCGGGCCCTTTCGTATCTCTTCCCTGCAACAAAAATTCTCCTTGCTATAGGCCCCTTCAAAATACTCTTTGCAGCCAGAAGCATTCATTTTGCAGATCTTCCTCTAGAATTCTCCCAACAACCAATCTTTCTGTTGCAGGTACTCAGTCGGAGATTCTCCCTACAGCGGACCCTTTCTTGGTTCTTCCTTGCAGTTGTTCTTTCGTTTGTCCTTGTAGGCCGCACCCTATTGGTTGTCTACTTCCCAGCATGCTTCCCTGCAGCCTTTACTTTCCTGTAACAGCCTTCCACTTTCCTGCAGAAACTGCAGGTGAAAGCAGCCCTAAATACTCTTGCGATTGATAGTCAAGTACGAGATGAAGACTTCAAGTTTTATGCTAGAGATAATTCAAATCAACATGACAACCTTATAACACAGGTGGTGAAGTCGGGGAAGTTGATTGGTTGTGTTGAAATGTGCCAAAGCTCTTCAATTCAAAAACTTCTCAAAATTCAATACCAAGTTTGGTCGACCTAGCTTGAGGGAGAGTGTGAAAATCTGAGAAGATTTAGCTTTTTTCCATATATACCCTTCTCCTGTGGGCCATAGGCTTTAAAAATTGGACCGGATATTGAGCCGGTAAAAGAAAATGTTTAAAGTTCAAAGGTTGAACCGGGGCTTCAAACGAATGACAAATCATAAATTTATTTATAAATAATATAAATTATTGTCGATCAACTTTTTCAATTGATTTGTTTAGATTTTGAAAATATGAAAATATGAAAATAATTTTTGAGATTTAATTTAAATATAAAAGATATATAGTTTGAGTTTTAAAAGTAGTATGTTTTAATTTTTGAAAAATGAGACCAAATGGAAGTCTGATAGTTTGCATAATCGATACCACGAATACTACACCCTCCCGAGAGATAAGTGTAGACCTTAGCGATAGACCCAATCCTACAAACTAAGAGATTTGTGACATCCGTTTGGTCTGCGAACCTTTTATGTATGACCGACAAGTTCCCTATTTAATACAAAGATTAAATAGGGTTTATTTTACCTGGGTTTCAAGTTCCCTATAGAGGCAAACCCCTATAGTTAATTACATCTCAAATGATTGGGTGACTTGAGAAAACTCTCGATAATGATCAGTGGTTCTAGTCTTCAAGATTTCAAGGTTTAGGTTTTCACGGTAGGACGTGAAAAAAACAAGTGGGAGTGGCTCAAGTAAGAACAGTTATTTCATGAGTCCAAAGAAAAGAAAAGGTAGGGGATGTCCTAGATCTTGAGGAGAACCCTCAATGACTTCCCAAACTATCCTACTGTGTGGCTGCATTTTTAGAGATGATGTTATTTGAATGTTTAGTCCTGCCAATTTTATTATTTGGGACTTACATTTGCATAATATCCGATTATGCAAATAACCCGCAGAGATAAGAGGGTTTACGTTGTAACGAACAACAACCTCAGAACCTAAAGCAAATTAGAACTTCCACTGCACAATATTGTTGCACAGGTGCCTAAAGAGGGAATGTGAGG